CTACTACTACTACTACTAACTAACTAACTAACTAACTAACTAACTAACTAACTAACTAACTAACTAACTAAACTAACTAACTACTACTACTCTCTCTCTCTCTCTCTCTCTCTCTCTCTCTCTCTCTCTCTCTCTCTCTCTCTCTCTCTACTCAAAGAAGAAAAAAGCAAAGAAAAATTTAAAAATCAAGCACTCAAGAAACATTTTCTCTCCCTATCACTCATACAGATATAATCCCCAAACAATTTTTCAGAAATTATAAAAAAAATTCAATTAATTAGACATCTCTCTCTCTCTCGCTCTCTCTCTAAAAGAAGAAAAAGCAAGGCAAAACGCAGTTGATCACCAATGGCCATACCTCAATGATGTATTGTGCAATCTCTCTATATCCATTGAAAGAAGCCCATTGAAGGGGATAGTAGCCATCACCACCAGGTTTTGAAACACTGCGACCTTCTTTCTCAACAAAATGTCGAAGCTTTAAGAGGTGACCATATGCTGAAGCAGAATACACGTCTGCAATGGCTAAATCCATTCCATTGACGCCGTTACTATTCATCGAAGTGCTTGAATTCTGAGTTTCTGAGACAACTTCAATCTCCGAGGAAGCCATGCCCTCTCAGCTATTTCAAAGACTGTAAAATTGGAGAGTTAAGGGAAGTTCAAGGGAATTTCACGGAAGTTGATTGTTCCAGGGTTTCTTCATAACCAGGGTATTAAATTTCTAGGGCTTGGAAGAGAGAGAGGGCTTAGGCAATCACAGGCAATATAAAAGGAAAGAGAATTGCAGAGAGGACTTCTTTCGTCTTCTTCTTCACGAGCATTTTCATGTAGCAGGGCATTTTCGTTATTTTCCTTATTCAAAGTCCAAACCCATTAGGAAAAAAGATAGAGAAATTTACGTACGGACCGTTCTTTTTATTATTATTATTATTATTATTATATTATTATTTTTTATTATACAGATATAACGGTATGGCTCGCAAATATGCGATATTACCGAAAGGACATATCTATAATTTTTTTATTTTTTTTGTTTAAATTTGCTTTAGTACGATGTTTCAAACATTGGATCGGATTGTTTTGGCATATTTAAAAAATAGAACAAAATACAGTCCAATGGTCCAACCAACCATTGGACCGCATTGTTCAATAAAAAAATAAAATATTACATGAAAGGATGTATCTACAATTTTTTAAAATTTTTTCTCAAGTTTGCTCCCATATGTTTAAAATATCCAATTGCTTTGGTCTACCTTAAAAAATTGAATAGAAAACAGTCTAATGATTGGAACATCGAACCACATTGTTTAGTAAAAAAAATGGAATAAAAAGCAATTCGATGATTAGAATATCAGACCGCATTGTTTAGTAAAAAAATTAAACAAAAGCTAGGGAATTAAGAAGGTAGTCTCTCTGCCATTGCTAGAAAAACTGAGCGATCTAACCACTAACCGCCCCGTTAGATGGGAACCAGCTAGTGGCCAGAGTTTGGGGCGATTTTGGTGATCGATCGGTATTTCAGAAAAAAAAATGTATATAAAATCCCAAAAAATAAAGAATTTGGTTTGTAATGCATTTTTAATATTCTTTACATTATGGTAAAGATTAACAATCGTTTTAGCCATTAATACTCACATTAATTCAATTATTGATTTGTTAAAATCTATTTTTTTATTAATTTTCATTAATCATTTTTTATTTGTCTTTTATATTTTAGTAGATTTTTTTGTTTTTTTTTAATTTTTTCAATATTTTTTTTACTGCACAATACTTGTCTAGTTAGAATGGTTGAATCGACCGATTTATTGAACAAAGACAAATGTTTATTTTTAAATTTTATATCAATCTAGTACCTCTAGAATTGTTAGTTGAAAGTTAAAACAATGCCTTATAGTACCCCTTGAATTGATTGTTGAAAGTTAAAACCAATGGTTTAAAAACCGTATCGGCGACCCGGATCGGGCTTTTCAAAAACCGATCCGGATCGGCGAATCGGCGATCCGGATCGGTGAATCGGCGATCCGGATCA